TTTACGAGAATTTATAAATTTGGAAGAACTTACTACTAGCGAAGCGGCTGCTAAGATGATTATTGAAATAGATGTGAGTGATTGACTCACTATAAGGTTCATGGAGTTAAAATTTTTACCTTTTTGGAAAAAACTAAGCAAGAAATCCAAACTCTTAAAGAAAAAATCAATAATAGTGAGCAACAATATCTGATATTGTTTTGCCCGATAGCGAGTTTGATAGCTTTGGCCAACTAAAACAAGAAATAGTAAGGTTAAAATTGGATGAGTTAACTCCTCAATTTCAAAATAAAAAGGCTGAGTTAGAAGAATTAGCACAAATTGCTAAAAATAAGGCAGGAGACAATTTGGAAGCAATAGTTAGCCTGCTTCTGCGAACTCAAGCTTCAATAATTAAACGAAAGAAAGGAAATGATTCCTTTGCCCAAGATCAATTAGAAGCTTTTCGAGATATCTTGCAAAGTAAATTAACTAGCGAAGAATTAAAGACTTTACTAAGCAAGCAAATTGAACTTACTAACTCAGAGGAACAATTAAATAAATTACAGCAAATTCGAGACCAGCAAACCGCCCAAATCCTCCAAACAAATCGCTAGTTAAATATTGACCGTATTAGCCTAGTTTAAAAAACTAGTGCTATTTCCCAGTCAACCGTCTGGCTAAACCTGGGCCTAGGCGGGTTTTTTACTTTTTTGTTCTTAGGTTTTTTATTAAGTTTGAAGTTGGCTTTATCTTTTCAAAGTCAAAGTGATATGTAAGGCTTTTCTACTTCCTCCATTAATTCAATGCTGACTGCTCCTATTTTTTCTCTGAACCTTTTTCGGTCAAGAGTGCAAATTTGGTCTACAAGAATTACACTATTTCTTCCTTTTAGCTTAGTTGGCACTTGAAAAGGATAAATCTTGTCGGTGCTACTGGTAAAAGGTATAATGGTTATGAGAGGGCTGAACCGATTTTGCTCGTCATTGGAGACTATTAGACAAGGGTGATGTCCTTGAAGTTCACATATTTTAGATTGCTTGCAACTTTATTCAGTAAATTTCTCCTCTTTTAATTAATTTTGCTACCATTTTTTTTTGTTTTTGATTTAGGCTTTTTTTGTTTGCTTAAATAGTTTAGTCAATCCTCATTTTGGGCTTTTTCTCATAACTTAGCTTCTTCTAGTAAGTGCGGATTATTGGTGTAGCACTCTTTATAGGCTTTTCCTAGGCAGTTTTTTTTCATATTGTATAACGTATAATTTTAATGTTCCAAAACCTATACCTCAAGTTCTAGGCTCTTTAAGTTTTTTTTTCTGGACTGTTAAACTTGGAAACAGGTTCAAACATTTTTTCTTTCATTAAACGAAATTTGGCCTGGGATTGCTTGATAATAACATCAGTGTAGTTTAGGTTATTCATAACTTTTTAAGCAAGTTTTTAATAAAATTTCTTCTTCTAATTTACGGCTTACTTTAACTCTTTCATCAGTGCTTTTCAGTTTTGTAATTTCTCTAATTCTTTTACTTCAGTAAGGGTTTATAGAAAAGTCTCTATATTGTAATATGCTTGCTTGGCTTAACTAAATATAAAATATAATAATGATAAAATGTGTCATCGCCAGTTAAGTCAAACAATTATATTACTTGATTTAACGTATAAGAGTGGTTAAAGAATGTTTTAAACAAGAAAAACTAAAGAAAAGCCTAAACTAAAATAAAAATACTATCAAATAACTAAACAAGAAGACAAAAATAACAAGGCTTACTCAAAAATATCAATAGAAAAACAATAATCTTATTATAAAAACACTATAAAAATATCATAAACCCACTATATATTCAATATAGAATTACAGTTTATTATACAATAATAAGGTTTTTAATACAAGAAAATAATCAAAGAGAAGGGTCAAATATACCCAGGAGCGATGTAAATATTCAAAGGATTAATTGGGGAGCATACATTGATGTCCCTCTACCTTGGAGAAAAGGCAGGGTTTATATATCTTTCGATAACATCATATAATAATGACATAATAATACTAGGAAATAATGCTGTAAATCATTATATTACTAATGTAAATCATTGCAAATCATTGCAATAATACTATATATTATTATTT